AGGATGTCTGGCTCTAGGGTAGTGAACATACCATCGTGGTTATCTGGGTCGTTAAGATCTTTTTTGTATGGTTCTTCTGTGTATTCTTGCCACCTCTTAGTATCTTCTACTTCTGTTAGGTCCATACATTTCCTATCCTTTATTGTACCATCTTTGCATGAAATGTCCCCTTGGTATCTCTAATTTTCTTGAAGAGATCTCTAATTTTCCCATTCTATTGTTTTTCTCTCTTTCTTTGCATTGATGACTGAGGAAGCAGATAAGTTCCTGCTGTTCTTTGGAACTCTGCATTCAGATGGGTATATTTTTTCTTTTCTCCTTTGCCTTTAGCTTGTCTTCTTTTCTCAGCTATTTGTAAGGCCTCCTCAAACAGCCATTTTGCCTTTTTGCATTTCTTTTTTTGGGGAATGGTTGATCACTGCCTCCTGTATGATGTCATGAACCTCTGTCCATAGTTCTTCAAGCACTCTATCATCTAATCCTTTGAATTTATTTGTCACTTCCACTGTATAATTGTAAGGGATTTGATTTAGGTCATACCTGAATGGTCTAGTGGTTTTCCCTAATTTCTTCAATTTAAGTCTGAATTTTGCAATAAGGAGTTCATGACCTGAGCCACAGTCAGCTCCTGGTCTTGTTTTTGCTTACTGTATAGAACTTCTCCATCTTTGGCTGCAAAGAATATAATCAGTCTGATTTCGGTATTGATCATCTGGTGATATCCATGTGTAGAGTCGTCTCATGTGTTGTTGGAAGAGGGTGTTTCCTATGACCAGTGCATTCTCTTGGCAAAACTCTTAGCCTTTGCCCTGCTTCATTTTGTACTTCAAGGCCAAACTTGCCGGTACTCCCCGTATTTCTTGACTTGTACCTGATTACACTGTTCAGAGACATTTAATAGTTTCCAATTTGTGGCTATTACAAATTGTGTTGCTGCTATGAACATTCTACTGTGGTTTTGATGAACACATAAATGCTCTTCTTGGGGTTTCCCTGTTGGCCCAGTGGTAAAGAATTTGCCTGCAATGCAGGAAATGCAGGTTCAATCCCTGGGTGGAAAGATCCCCTGGAGAAGGAAATGGCAACCTACTCCAATATTCTTGCCTTGGGAAATCCCACGGACAGAGGAACATAGAGGGCTGTAGTCCATGGAGTCGCAAAGAGTCAGACATGACTGAATAACTAAAGACCAACCAGGAGGATCCCACATGCCAGAGAGCAACGAAGCCACAACTATAGAGCCTGTGCTCTAGACCCCGGCAGCCACAACCACAGAGCCCATGTACTGCAACTTCTGAAGCCCAACACCCTAGAGCCGTGCTCAGCAGTAAGGAAAGCCATTGCAGTAAGACTGCATCGCAACTAGACTGTAGCTCCCACTTGCTGCAACTAGAGAAGAGCCTGCGTAGAAGCAAAGATCCAGCACAAACTAAGCTAACTAAATAATCATTAAAATAAATAAATGCTCTTCTCTTGAGTAAATATTTAGGAGTGGAAATGCTAGATCACTGGGTGACCCCCTTGGACTGTAGCCCTCCAGCCTCCTCTGTTCATGGAATTCTTCAGGCAAGAAAAATGGTGTGGGTAGCCATTTCCTTCTCCAGGGGAATCTTTCTGACCCAGGTCTCCCACATTGCAGGCAGATTCCTTACCCTTTGAGCCATCAGGGAAACCCTAGATCATTGGGCAGGCATATGTTTAATTGATACTACCAGTATCTTATGTTGTACCAATTTATCTCCATCCAGTAATGTATGAGAGTTTCAGTTGCTCTACATCATGTCTGTTATTTGAAATAGTCAATCTTTTGTTTTAACTATTCTGGTGGATATATAACAGAGTTTCATCAGTTTTTAATTTGCATTTCCCTGATGTGTTAACGATGTTCAGCACCTTTTCCTATTTTTATTAGCCATTCAGATATCCAGTTTTTAAAAGCGTCCTCTTGTCCTTTTTAATTATTTTTTTCACTTTTAAGAAACTTTTTACTTTTATATTGTAAGCATAAGGCAAAGGATTCCAATACACTGTTCACTCAAGTGTCCACAGTACAATTAGGAGAACCAGGGAGTTTACCCTGATACACGACTTTTGCTAATTTACAGACTTTATTTAAATTTTTCTAATTGTCTTATCAGTCCCCTGCTCTGTTAAAGAATCCTATCTAAATGCCCAGATTGATTTAGTTGTCTCATTTCATTAGTATTCCTCCCATCTGACATAGTTCTTTAGTCCTTTTTATCTTTTATGACCGTGACACTTTTGAAGAGCACTGGCCAGTTATTTTGTTGAATGTCTTTTTTTTTGTTTGTTTATTTTAATTGAAGGCTAATTACTTTACAATATTGCATTGGTTTTTGCCAAACATCAGCATGAATCAGCCACAGGTGCACATGTGTTCCCCATCCAGAACCCCCCTCCCACCTCCCTCCCCATCCCATCCCTCTGGGTCATCCCAATGCAGCAGCCCTGAGCACCCTGTCTCATGTATTCAAACTGAACCAGTGATCTGCTTCACATATGATAATATACACGTTTTAACGCTACCCCCTCAAATCATCCCACCCTCACCGTCTCCCACAGAGTCCAAAAGACTGTTCTTTACATCTGTGTCTCTTTTGCTGTCCCGCACATAGGGTCATCATTACCATCTTTCTAAATTCCATATATATGCGTTAGTATACTGTATTGGTATTTTTCTTTCTGAATTACTTCACTCTGTATAATAGGCTCCAGTTTCACCCACCTCATTAGAACTGATTCAAATGCATTCTTTTTAATAGCTGAGTATATTCCATTGTGATATGTACCACAACTTTCTTATCCATTTGTCTGCCAATGGATATCTAGGTTGCTTCCGTATCCTAACTATTGTAAACAGTGCCACGATGAGCACTGGGGTACACGTGTCTCTTTCAATTCTGGTTTCCTCAGTGTGTATGCCCAGCAGTGGGATTGCTGGGTCGTATGGCAGTTCTACTTCCAGGTTTTTAAGGAATCTCCACACTGTTCTCCATAGTGGCTGTACTAGTTTGCATTCCTACCAACAATGTAAGAGGGTTCCTTTTTCTCTGCACCCTCTCCAGCATTTATTGTTTGTAGGCTTTTTGATAGCAGCCATTCTGACTGGTGTGAGATGGTACCTCATTGTGGTTTTGATTTGCATTTCTCTGATAATGAGTGATGTTGAGCATCTTTTCATGTTTTGTTAGCCATCTGTATGTCTTCTTTGGAGAAATTTCTGTTTAGTTCTTTGGCCTATTTTTTGAATGTCTTTAAATTTGAATTTGTCTGCTGTTTCCTCTTGGCTAAATTTAGGCTTTGCCTTTTTGGCAAAAAGATCATAGAAATAATTTCTTCCTCTCAATGTGTCATATCAGAAGCTATATGATATTTCATTACTAGTAGTGTTAACTTAGGTTACTTGGTTAGAGTGATTTCCCCCTGGTTTGTTCTCTGTAAAATTACTGTTTTCCCCCCTTTAATTAGTAAGTATCAGATGGTTTTTTTAAAAAAATATTTGTTTGATTGTGCCAGGTCTTAGCTGTGGCATGTGGGATCTAGTTCTCTGACCAGGGATCGAACCTGCCCGCATTGGGCAGATAGTCTTAGCCACTAGACCATCAGAGAAGTCCCTCAGATGGTTTTTCTTTTTGATCCCTGGGTCAGGAAGATCCCCTGGAGAAGGGAATAGCAACTCACTCCAGTATTCTTGCCTGGAGAATTCCATGGACAGAAGAGCCTGGCGTGTTACAGTCCATGAGATCACAGAGAGACAGATGCGACTTAGGACTAAACACAAATAACAGATTATCTTTTTAATGTCAGTGGCATCTGTAAAGATATTCCCTTTTCATTACTGATTTTGTTCATTTGTATTATTCCTCTCTTTTTCATCGCGCTGTTGGTAATAGGTCTTTTATTCCTCTGAGTACTGTCAAGAATTATTTTCCTTTCTCTTTGGTTTTCAACAGTTTGACTGTAACAGTTTGCTTGGTTGTGGTTTTGCTTTTGTGTGTTTGTTTTGTTCATCTTCTTGTATATTATTCTTCTGTTTTCTGAGCTTCTTGAAACTCTTGTTAGGATTTTTGATCAATTTATTCAAATATTAATTCCTGTCCAGTCTCGTCTCTTCTCTGAGACTCCACTTATGTGTGCTGGTGATCTTTTTAACTGTCCCATATATCTTTTACACTCATTTCTGTTTGTTTTCCCTCCTGTACTTCGTGTGGATGTTTTTGGTTGGCTTGTCTGAGTTCAGTAATCCTGGTTTCTCAAAAGCATGCAGCAACTTATTTATCTCCTAATTGGCTGAAATAGATAGTCTGTTTCTTTTTTATGGATTTCAGTTGTGTTTAGTTTCTTCATCTTATCATCCATCCCTTTGCCTGTCCTTTCCTTGGTTGTCTTCAACATTTTAGTTGTAGCTATTAATATTTTAAATGGTTTGCCTACTCCAGTATCTAAATTGTCTTTGGTTCTGCTTGTTTTCTGTTTTTATCTCCTTGCATGTCTGGTAATCTTTAATTGGTTGAGATACTGTGTCTAAAACAATCATAGGGGCTAAAGCCAGTCACTAACTACTTCTGCTTTCTTATTATATAAGAAGAATTAAACTGCTTTTCAGGTCCCTATTACTAACAGACAAGTACAATTCCTAGCATACAGGAAATTTTCAGGATAATGCTGGAAATAATTTAAAACATTACATTTTTTGAGTAAAAGATAGGTTTACTATTTAGATGAGTGCAAAATTCTCAAAAATTTTAAGCTACTTATTAGAATACAAGACTTCTCTATAGTGTTATCTTTTGACAGTGCTCTTTACCTAGGTGTGATTGTGTTGCAAGCATACTGTGATCTTGGCTACAGAGATCGATGGCTTTAAAAGAGAGGCGCAGATCTTCCAGAAGGAAGAATTCAGCCTGGGGGAGGGTACCATCTAGGGGAAAAGATGAAGCACGTTGGGAATGTGAGAAGCATTGTCTGAAGCTATTGAGATGAGATGTTTCCTGCCCATTCTGCTTGACAGGTACAACGCCTGAGGAGGTCCCCTTATAATCCGGGAAAGGCCGGGAAGACCGACTAGAAAAGGGGACTTCAAAAATGAGGAGTAGAGGAGAAGGAAGTCTTCTCAAATCTTTCTGGATAACTGTTGATTCTTTAGTGTCTAGCACAGTGCCTGGTACATGATAGGCACTGCAGTTGAGAAAAATACTAAGAAGACTAGGTTAAAGGAATGCTTTCAGGTTTTAAGAAAGAGGCATTTATGGATTACTTTGGTTTTCATGCCTGAAATCTGTTTACCCATGGGGGAATGCAGTGAGTAACTAGGGGTAGGGGTAAAAGTAGCTATTGAATAATTGATACAGTGATACCATGAAATTATTTCCTGAGTGGTCAGTTTTACATGCAATTATTGACAATTGATGATCAAGGAGCTTGATGCATAGTGGAATGCTCACTGCCCCTTATACTTTTTTTTTCCCCTTATACTTTTATAATGTTCAGTTTATTACATTCTTATAGCCTATAGACAGACACAAATTTTCTTAAACATTTAGACATCGATCACAAATTCAGTTATCCCCCTAAAATGTTTTAGGCTTCTATTAGTAAAGGAAATAGAATATACAGTTTTCACAAATTTTTTTTACTATACTTATAGTCAAAAGCTATTCTAAAGCACCAATGATATGGATTTAGTCCATTTCTATGTTATTTCTTTGATTTTACTTCCTTTCTGTTGTTACGCTGATTTTAATATTGTCCCCTAATTACTGTAAATTCTGTAAAATTACTTCATTTGCTTTTTTTGGATTAAGTTTTCTTAAGTCAAGATTCATTAACCCCAAAAGTTTTCTCAAACTAGACAAGATTAGAGGATCTGGTTTATCAATCAGATGTTTCTTGGTCAGGACTTGGGACCTAATTGTACAATCGAAGATCACTGAAAATTGATTTGACCAATGTATATCCAAATTAAAATGCATATGACCAGCTTTTAGGAATTATTCAGAATTCATATACAGGTAAAATGATATATTAATATGTACATGGATATTTACTATAGCATTGTTTGTTACAGTGAAAGACAGGAAACAACCCAAATGATAATTGGCAGCATATTGGTTGAATAATTTAAAGTGTATCCATTTAATAGAATCCAATGTAGGCTAAGAGAATTAATTATGTATTTTTGAATGTACTAGTTGGGATCTGGTCCAAGATACTTTAAGTAAAAATAGCAATGTGTTTAACAATGTATGGGCTTCCCTGCTGGCTCAATGGTAAAGAGTCCTCCTGCCAATGCAAGAGATGCAGATTCAATCCCTGGGTCAAGAAGTTCCCCTAGAGAAGGAAATGGCAGCCCACTCTAATGTTCTTCCCTGGGAAATCCCGTTGGCAGAGGAGGCTGGAGGGGTACAGTCCATGGACACGAATCAGTCTTGACTTAGTGACTAAACAACAACAACATAACAGTGTATATAATATGCTGCAATTTGTAAATTTTAAAAAGTATATCTTTGTGTGTATATGAGTATACATACGGGGCTTCCCTGGTGGCTCACCTGGTAAAGAATCTGCTTGAGTATATATACAAGCTAGATTCTCTAAGCCATATCAAGTGCTCCAAATCTGTCCTGTTGTAGTCAAGGCCTGAGGTTTCTGGAGTAGGCGTAATTAGAGATTTGCCCATTCTTTTCACTAATCCCTCCAGTGTTTGTGTGTAGTTAGCAGAGGGGAAATGATCATACTGGGAGCTGTGAGGCAAGTGGCATCTTGTGTAACTTCTTTCTGTCTTCTCCAGCTCTGCCTTTTTCCAAAAAAGGAGCCCAGAGAAGAACTGGTCCTTTTCTGCAAATATCAAAGCCATGGCTCAGGTGAGATGCTGTTTCTTTTTGCTCAGATAGAGTCATTTTTACCCCTAGTACATGTAAATACTTGCTTTCCTTATCACGATGCTTTTCGGTGTTTAAAAACAATAGCAGCCTTCAGACAGTTCGGTTATACACAGTGCCAAAGTTCTCTTACTCTTGCTCTAAAGAAAAGGTCTCTAATAAGCCAATTCAAAAATTGCTCTCTTGTTGGAGGTATTTATAGAAAATATAAGTGGTTAGATAATCATTAAAAAAAGGAAAGAATATCTGGTTAAAGATCTTTATACTCTTAGTTACAGGTAACTGTTTGAGGGCTAAGGGGTTAGATACCAAGTTTCTCTGAAGAAGTCTTAATCAAATTAAAATCCATTAGAAAATTGCTTATGGATTTCATCATAAATCCTGATTTTTTTCCCACATACTGTGAATTACATAATATAAAAACAGTCTGAGACCAGGTTTAAAAAAATTTTTTTACACTGGTTAACATGGTCCCCCTTCAGCAACCTGACCCCTAATTCCTCCTAAAACAACCCAGTGCCCTTCACAGTTCCTTCTTTTAAATAACTTTTACTCATTTAATAAGTCTTTCACCACCTTCTGTCAGATTTGTGTCAGAAATCTTGGCAGAACAGAAATGTGTTTTCTATTAGTTAATGAATCTAATTTGCTTCAACAGTGATTGATGGGATAGAGATGGGCAGGGTAATTAGGGTACCTCATAGGGAAAAGCCCTGATCATCTCCATAGACTTAGATTTTCCAGGAAGAAAATTTGTGAGATGGTTTTGTTTGATGTCATTCTTAATACACAGAAAGGTCTCTTAATGTGTGAGTCCTTCAGGTTTGGGGGTATGACTGGTGGTTGGTACAAAGCTCTGATACCCCGAGAGACCACCCATGATAAATAGACTTCAATAATGCCATTGTGTGAAGCTGGATCATGCTCTGTCAATTTCCTATAGCTTAGGAACAAAGGGTATTTACATCGAGCAATGGGCGGTTTTAGATAAAACTGGACCAACGTTGGGAAGGTCTTTAAAGATCACCTTCAGCCTCAATGTCCGAAAGCAAAGGAGCAGTCATTTATTTCCATATTACAAAACATTCAGTGAAAAAAAAAGCTTATAAAAAGAATTTGTTTAACAAGAAATAATTCTTATTATATAGTTTATAATAGTGTGACCTTAGAATGGATCAGTCTTGAATTATATGCAAATATAATTTTCTAAGATAAAATATTTTTTAAAGTTATTTGTACATGTTCACGAGTAAAGTAGGGCTATTTCATTCTGGCCTCACTACTAGTTTCACTCCCAAAAGGTAGCTGCCTTCAACTCTTGAATATTGATTATCAGTTTTACTCATTATCTTTTGACTTACTGCAGAGTGGAAAGGACATTATACTCATAGATTGCACCCTTCATTTCCTCTGATCCTGTTATTATATCACCATTTTTGGTTAAATCGATAGTGTACACATTATCACAACTGCAAATATCCCTAACTGCTGAGCCAGATCATGGCTTTATTCTGTTACAGCCTTTCATTTTTCCTGGGGTTAATTGCTTTTTCCCGTCATTTGCTTAGTTTTCCATGTATTTATATCCAAAATCTTCAGGATCACTGCCACGTGCAAGTCAGTATGTTTTCCATCTGATCAAACACATCAATTCCTTTTGAACATGGAAACTTCCATCCCTGTTCCCTTTTTCACCCTGCTTCCATTTTGTCTAGTTGCTCTCTAGGCCTGTTTCTCAAAAGACTTCCCCTTTTTTCCCTGGGGTTTTCCTTCTCTGTTTTTCTGTGTTAATTCACATATTTATTGACTCTCATGTCTTCCTCTTCTCTGGTTTACTCTCTGATTCTGGTTGAGCACAACCTCTGATAGTTTCCTGAGAAATTGTGCTTGAGTCTTTTCATGTCTGGGGTTTCTTTTTTCAGTTGTCACAACAGAATGACAATTTGATTATAGAATTCTAGGTTAGAATTTCTTTTCTTTTGGGCGGAGGGGCGTGCCATGGCAGCCTGGGAGATTTAGTGCCCTGACCAAGGATTGACCCTGTGCTCCCTGGTTCCAGGGGGCATTGGGAGCATGGAGTCTTAACCATAGGACTGCCAGGGAAGTCCCCAGAATTTCTTCATTAGCATGTTGAAGAATTGTTCTTACCATTTCTTATTTTTAGTGGTTCTCTTAAGAACCCCATTGCCTCTGTGATTCTTTTTTTTTTTTTTTTTTTGCCTCTGTGATTCTTGATGGCTTTTATCCAACCTGCTCTTCTCTGGATGCTTTTAATGTCTTCTCTTTTCCCTTATTCTGAAATTATACTCTTAGCTGTTTTGGAAAAGAAACTCACATGTATTCATAACAAAGCATTTGCAAAGTGTTTGTATATACTACTTCATTGAATTGGGAAACTCATCTTGGCTGGATTTTATACCTCTCCAGACTTATTTGGATAACAGAAGTGCCCAACTATCCACAGGTAGTTTTGCCTGGAGGAAACAGAATGACTTGGAAGCATAGTGATTCATTCCTGTTTATTTGTTTACAGTCCTCCAGAGGCATCCCATTCAGTTCCACTCTGTGTGCTTGCTGTTTTCGATTCTTCTTTTCTTTTTTCCTTCTCTCTTTCCTTCACAAAAACAAATGTTTTTATTGATCAAACCTAATTTTTAAAAATTTAACATGGTTGTTGTTCCAGGAGTCAGTGATGTTCAGTGATGTGTCCATAGACTTCTCTCAGGAGGAGTGGGAATTCCTGAATGATGATCAGAGAGATTTATACAGAGATGTGATGTTGGAGAATTACAGCAACCTGGTTTCAATGGGTAAGGACATCCATAATAATTTAGATTCTGCCCTGAGAAAGTCTACTTCCTCTGGTGTTATACTCGCCTACTTCTCAAGTAACCGTTTGTGTTTCTATCTACACCCTGTTCCCAGAGGAATGTTTTTAATCTTGTAGAGCTAGAAAGAGGAAGCTACATTGAGTTGTGAGGAAAGTTTCAAGTGCTCTATTATGTTTCATAAATCTGCTGTATCTTCCTTTGACTCTTTCTTAATAATGAAAGGACTGGATTTGAATTCTGGACATTCTCAACATAAACCTCTCCTTACTTCTTTTGTAAGCAGGACATTCTATTTCTAAACCAGATGTGATCTCCTTCTTGGAGCAAGGGAAGGAGCCCTGGTTGGTTGACAGAGAACTAACAAGAGACCAGTGGCCAGGTAAGTGAGGCATGGCAGGTGATGACCCAGTCAGTCAATGCAGAGATTGCACCTTTGAAATGCAGTCTGGGAAGCTTCCCTTAAAGTCTTTAGGCCTGTTGTGCAAAAAGTAAGCCTTTTCAGCATGACCTTTCAAATGACCTTACCTTCCCCCCTTACTTAACACAGTCCGCCTGCTCCTCTTATGCTTCTCCTCTTATGCTTCTGTCCCAATTCTAACGAGCCGGTGCCCTCCTCCACCTTCTCTAATAATCCTCCCTTCTATGCATAATTTGAATCTACTTCCTTATCTGCTTCTCATCCTCTTTTGTACTCAATCTTCAAAGAGCATCACTGTCTCCTGAAATATTATTTTTTTCTACCAAAGTTACCAAAGGCTCACTTCTCTAGAGCTTATAAGATATAGTAGATACACTCATTGGTTCATTCATACTTTTAATGAACATTTGCTAATTTTCTAATGTGTGTGGAGTACTCTGCTAGGTACGGAAAGATTAAAAAATGCTAAGTGGGAATTCCCTGGCAATCCAGTGGTTAGGACTCTGCACTTCCACTGTAGGGAGCACAGGTGCAATCCTTAGTCAGGGAATTAAGATCCCGCAAGCCACTGGCGCAGCCAGGAAAAAAATAAAGAATAAGCAGTTTCAGAGTTTATAGCTTAATGTGGGTACTGTTTATAACTTGTAAAATGTAGAAGCACGAGAGAGGTTAAAATAGGGAACTCAGCAGAAAGGGGGCGCTAAAGAGATAGAAGAGGAGTTGATCCACATAGCTGTCATAAGAGACATTTGAGCACACATGTCATTGAGTTTAGAGTGCTTGAAAAAATAATCTGTGCCTCCATTGAGATCTTAGGGCTAACAAAGATAAAGAAAAAAAGAAAAAAAACAAGACAGCATATTCCTTCATTCAGTATATGTTTTGTGTGATTTTTAAAAATTTTTTATTTTACATTGAAGCATAGTTGATTTAACAATGCTGTGTTAGTTTCAGGTGTACAGAAAAGTGATTGTTATACATATACATGTATCCTTTTTCAAATTCTTTCCCCATTTAGATTATTACAGAATATTGAGCAGAGTTCCCTGTGCCGTATAGTAGGTCTTTGTTGGTTATCTGTGTTAAATATAGCAGTGTGTACAAGTCAATCCCAAATTCCCAGTCCATCGCCCCTCCCTATCCTTCCCCCCAGGTAATCATAAGTCATTCTCTAAGCCTGTGAGTCTGTTTCTGTTTTGTATATAAGTTCATTTGTGTCATTTATTTTTTAGATTCCACATATAAGCAATATCATAGGAAATTTTGTCTTTCTCTGGTATGATAATCCTCAGGTCCATCCATGATACTACAAATAGCATTCTTTTGTTCTCTTTAATAGCTGAGTAATATTCCATTGTATATATGTATCATATCTTCTTTGTCCATTTATCTGTCGATAGATCAGTATATGTATATTGAATACCTATTGCATGCCCAGAGCTACTCTCAACACTTGAAATTAGAGCGGTGAGTAGAATATGCAGAATGTCTTTTCCCAGAGTTTACTCTCAGCTGCAGGGAGAGATACAGAAATAAATGAATATATAATGGTAAGTGCTGAAAAGAATAAGTGGAGAAGTGGAGATGCTATTTTATGTGACAGGGTACAAGAAACTTTCCAATAAGGTGACATTGGGACAGAGACATGAAGAAGTACAGCTATAAATCATTACTAGTAATCATGTGATTACTAGGAAGAACATTCCAGAGGAACCCAGACATTGAAGGGCCTCAGGCAGGTATGCATTGGCTGTGTGTAGAGAGCAGCCAGGAGGCCAGTGCCTCTTCTACCCCGGTTGTTATTCACGTATTTTTCAAATGCAAGACCTCTTGTCACTTCACCCTTGCATAACCTCAGTATGTAATTCTAAAAAGCAGACATTGTCTCCCTTACATAACTTGACTGCTTTGTCATCCCCAATAACTTTTACACTGATTTCTTGGTACATCGAATTGTTTTAGTGTCATTTTACTGAGTACTAATGAGAGGGGACATTTTCACCTTCATGGTGCTACTATCTTTAACATGTTCACTACTGTATTTTACACTTTTTATCTATTACTGCTCTAATTCTCCTCAGTCAATTTTTATGGATTTTATAAAATAAAAACATTACATACCCATTTCCGTGGGGTGTTTTGTACTTCATAAATTTTAATTTGGATTGGCATCTTTTAAAAATATATTCATTTATTTATTTGGCTGCGTCCAGTCTTAATTGCTGCACTTGGAATCTTCGTTGCATCCTGTGGACTCTTCCCTTGCGGCACACCAGCTCAGTAGTTGCGGCACGTGGGCTTAGTTGCTCTGTGGCATGTGGGGTCTTGGCTCCCCAACCAGGGATCAAACCTGGCTTCTCCTGTACTGCAAGGCGGATGTTTAACCACTGGACCGTCAGGGAAATCCCTGGATTGGCATCCTTAAGTGTATGCTCTAATGTGTTTGCAGTCATCTCTTTTGTGGTTATTACAATGTCTGATTTTAGAAAATTAGCTGACCTCTACAAATTTCATAGATATCTTGTTCTTTAAAAAAAAATTTTTTTTTGCTGTATTTTAAAATAATTTTATTTATTTATTTATTTTTGGCTATGCTGGGTCTTCAGTGCTGCTCGGGCCTTTCTCTAGTTGTGGCTCTCGGGGTTACCCACCGGTTGCGGTGCTCAGGCTTCTCATTGCAGTGGCTCTTCTTGTTGTAGAGCACAGGCTCCAGGGCTTGCAGGTCTCAGTGGTTGTGGCACACAGGCTTCGTTGCCCTGCAGCATTGTGGGATCTTCCCGGATCAGGGATCAGACCTGTGTCTCCGGCTTTGGCAGACAGAGTCTTTAGCACTAAGCCACCAGGGAAGCCTCTCTGCTGTTTTTAATAGCATCTAAATCCATTTTAAAGTTCTTTTACAATAAACTATAAATTGAGAGTCCAACTCAATCCCCTCTCCCCTGCCCCAATGGCTTATTTTAGCACCATTTATTCAACAGCTGTTTATGTCATGGTTGTTTCGTCTGCCTGTTCCTTGGAAGTTCTGGTTTATTTTACTTTGTATTTCAGGGCCTCTTTCTGTTTCTTTGCTCCTTTTATCCACTTCTACCTTCAGAGATAGATATGCCCAGCAGACAGTTTAATATATTTTAATTATTTTTATTGGAAATTTTCTCAAGTACAGAAAGGTAACAAACTATAGGTAGACATTTAAACAGTTATAAAATGAACTCTCATGGAAACATCACCCAGATCTTAAGAATTTACAACACTATCAGCACATCTCTCTATGTCCATAGTATCTTTGTGTCCCTTTATACTTTTACCAATTAAGAGAACCACCACAACAATATAGTTCAGTTTTGAGTTTGAAATTTATATACATAGAATCGTACTATATATACTTTTATGTTGTTTTTTATGAATCATTTTGCTTTTAAGATTCATACATATTATTTCTTATAGTCAGAGTTGATTTATTCAGTTATACCAATATACTACAGTTTATTTTTCGGTTCTGCTTTTCATAGGGAGTTAGGTTGTTTCCACTTTTTGACAGTTAAAAATTGCTACTATGAACATTTTCTGTGTGATATGAATAGAGAAATGAATGGATCACATGGCATCATATCTTTAGTTGTCCAATTTTCAACTTTTTTTAAGTTCTCAGGTTTTGTTTTGTTTTAATAGTTTTATTTATTTTTGCCTGTGCTGGGTCTTCATTGCTTTGTGCAGGCTTTCTCCAGTTGTGGTGAGCAGGGGCTACTTTTCATTGTGTTATGTGAGCTTCTCATTGCAGTGGCTTCTAGAGAGCATGGGCTTAAGTAGCTGCAGCTCCTGGGCCCTTTGAGCACAGGCTCAGTAGTTGTGACGCATGGGCTTAGCTTTTCCACAGCGTGTGGAATCTTCCCTGACCAGGGATTAAACCTATGTCCCCTGCATTGGCAAGTGGATTCCTATCCACTGTGCCACAAGGGAAGTTCTCCACTTTTCTTTAATGCCTATACTAGATTACAGTCCCACCAGCAGTAAATGGGAGCTCCCATTGTTGCACATGCTTCCTAACATATTGTCAAACTTATATTTTTATCAATTGCTGAGCATATATAGTGATACTTCAGTGTAGTTTTAGTTTGCATTTCCCTTTTTACTGATGAGCTTGAAGACATTTTCATATCATTATTGTTTTTTTGAAATTCTTCTTTAGCTAATTGCCTGTTCAAGTCTTTCTTAACCTGTTTTTCTTTGGATTCCCTGTATTTTTAATGATGTGTAAGAGTTCTTTATATATTTTGCTTATTGAGTATATTCCATGTTCTAAAAATTGCTAGTGTCTTCTTCTACTCTAAGTTATCTTTTAGTGCTCTTTATGGTTTCTTTTTGTGAACAGAGGTTCTTAATTTTGGTCAGATTTATCAGTCTTCTGTTTTGGGCTTCACACTTATTTGGTCTTATGTAGGAAATTCTTCCTTGGCCTATTTTTGAATCTGATTTATAATACATAAACAGAATCACACTATCTGAACATTTTGTCCTGTTTAAGAAAATTTTGATTACTGTGAAGATACTCTTTTTATGTTTTCTTCTTGATGTCTGATTGTTTTTCCTTTATAAACTTTTCCTCTAAGGGGCTAAATTTTTACTGTAATACATTCAGGTGTGGTTACTTTTATTTTTAAATCCAAGAATTTATATCTTTTTCTCATGAGAGGAAATCCTTGGCAGTCATCTGTTTAAACATTACCTTGCTACCATTTCCTCTTTTCTCTCTTGAGCTCCTATTTAACAGAAATAAAACATCTGGATCACCTCTGATTTTTTAAATTCTTCATCTCTTTTTCTATTTATGCTGCCTTTACATAGAATTCCTTACTTTGATACTACTCTACATAAGATAGATAACCAACAAGGACGTACTGTATAGCCCAGGGAAATCTACTCAGTATTATGTAACAACCTATATAAGAAAAGAATCTAAAAAA